ACATCGACTCAGTGATCCACCTCACCAGGATTAACAGCAGTGCTGTGCTCATGTATTGGGCCACACTGGGCTAGGAGTTGTTTCTTTGTCAGTCTAGATGTTGGGTTGTGAAGCATCCATATGTTCCACATCCTCTGCATGTAGTCCCTCTTGCTGGGGTTACTTGTATAGGAGCATTCTAACATTTCCATATTCTCTGCTCTCGTCCATTTACGTCTTGTTCCAGTAGCCCAGTTCTCATCAGGTTGCCATGGTTCCCCAACATCTGACGCGGACCTTATTGACGTGGGTGACGTCCAAGCTGTATGACTATTGTCTTTGCAGTTTCACTCATCCTGAGGTAGGGGCATTAAGGACCTTACCTAAGGGTCCAGACTGGATATGTGTTACCTGCCCTGACCGGGATTCAAACGCCGATCTTAAAGGGATAGTGCACCCAAAAATGAAAATTCAGCCATTATCTACTCACCCATATGCCGACGGAGGCCCTGGTGAAGTTTTAGAGTCCTCACATCACTTGCGGAGATCGGCGAGGGGAGTGGCTAGCACACCTAATGGAGGCTGACGGCGCCCCAGACTAACGTCCAAGAACACATCCGTAGTGATCCAAGTGTCCTGAATCCCCGACATAAAAAGTTGTTTGGAAAAACGTCATTTGAACTCTGTTTTTAGCCTCACTGTAGCCTGTAGCTCTGACTGCTTCTCTGTGCTCCGCATTCACGTGTTCGCGCTCAGGGTGATCGGTGATGCACGGTCTCTGAAGAGCAGCAGTCTCGTCAGTACTGATGTCCAGATTCTCAAGTGCAGGTATCGCCAATTCCCAGTCTGAGCAGCAAAGACTTTCCTCATCCGTTGGCATTGCTTTGCATTTGAAACAACTACACCACCAGGTTTCCAGTGCTCGACTCCGGTATTCTGTGGCTGGCTGAGGGTTAGGCTCATGAGCTGCGGCGGCTGCTTCGTCCAGTAGCCTGAGTTCCGTGCGTATACTCGGGCTCAAACAAATACGGCTCAACAAAGAAATGCTGTTCCTCCTCAGTTTCAGAGTCTTCAGACATGTTGGGCTGTCCTTTGCTAAAAGACCGTAGTGCAAATTATCTTTTAGCTCTGTGGTTACGTTGTCTCTCCCTGTGGTGCACGTGTCACGTGATATAAACACGGGTGAGCAAAGCTCATGCTTTCGCTGGTCTCGCGCAGGCGCGCATACTTGAGCGCAGAGCACAGAGAGGCAGTCAGAGCTACAGGCTACATTGAGGCTAAAAACAGAGTTCAAATGACGTTTTTCGAAACAACTTTTTATGTCGGGGCTTCAGTACACTTGGATCACTACGGATGAGCAGTATGGAGATACTTTGTGGTTTTCAATTTTGTGTGGGTCACAGTATGCCATTAGGTGTGCTAGCCGCTCCCCCCGCCGATCTCTGCAAGTGATGTGAGGACTCTAAAACTTCACCTGAGCCTCCGTCGGCATATGGGTGAGTAGACAATGGCTGAATTTTCATTTTTTTGGGCTGTTGGGTAGATTTATACGTTCATGTTGTGCCTTCTTAGAATTTTTATAGATGAAAACCACGACCACTGATGTGACCTTTGACCCCTAAGGTGCAGATACTGCACTTTGCTTTTGGATGACCTCAAACACTAAAACACTACTGCAAAGGCAAAGTGCAGTATCTACAATCTAAATGTGTTCATCTGTCGTCCTTGTTGCGTGTCTACATTTGGACTATTTTTAATAGTTTTACAGTTTCACTGATGTTTGCATGTTGTGAATGTTGAACGTGCTCAGTGGTTAACCTTAAGATTAAGAATCTTCTTTTATCACAACCCTTTCATCACAGAGTGTGTTGCTCATTAAGATTTTTTTTCATGCTGACGTAAGACAGAACCAACGGTCAGCAGTCGTGTCTGCCTCACGTCAGATACATGAGATTCACTGATCTGTGATGAGCGTTATATCTGTAGTTGCAACCCCTGCATTTCCACGGTGGTCAATAAAGCTAATGTGAGATTTTATCTCAGTGTCTGACAAATGTCATGACAAACATTTACCTCTGAGACGTGGAGGAGGAGGAGGAGGAGGAGGAGGAGGAGAAGAAGGAAGTAACATAACATGGAAACACTCCACCAAAGTGGCCTCACACTGAACACACAAACACACAGGCTGAACATTGTTATGGAGGTCTACATGAAATGAATCCACTCTCATCCACACTCTGATTCCTGCTTGCACACACACCACTGCCCTGACATCTCCACACTCTCCTCCTCCCTCAGGCTGACCTATATCATGGGGTGTGCACCTGCAGTAGCCTTTCTCCATTACAAGCTGTGTAGTGTAACTGTGTGACGGAACCTGCAGAGTCAACAGCTCCTGATAAATTAACCTCAGCATGTTAGAGAGCATGTTCTGCACCTGCTGCCACAGAGCCTGCACACATTACCCTCACATGTAGGGAGCTCGACTGAATCAGGTAACACCAACACATCAGGTATTACACTTCTGTAGATGAATGATTGTATGGAAGCCCTGAGAGGCCAAAAGCGGTTTTCTCTCCTGTGTTTATGACCTAACAACAGGTGAGCAAAGGTTTTGTTTTGTTTCTAAATTCATTAATTTTATTCATCTGTGGAACAGGTGGAAAAAAAAGTTTTGCTGGTATCATTTTCCTAAGTTACTTTGTTTTATTTGTTTTTGTAAAAAAAAAAAGTTTAGCCAGGTGATTTTTTTTGTTGTTTAAGGATCATCTTTCAAACCATGTGTTGTATGGGGGGCTGAGTGCACCACCACCTCTGATTCTATATGACTTTTAATTTCTCCATACACTCTAAACTAGAATTCTTCAAGGATCTACCCGGACCCTTGGACCCAAAACCCGACCCAGGACGTATACGGGATCAGGTCCATGTCTGGGTTTAGTCCCATTTGATCACCAAGGGTCTCAGGTCTGTTTATCATTATGTGTAATAGACTGAATCACGGCGTTTATTTACAAACACGTCTGGGGAGAAAAACCCTTCCGTCACAAACATTACAATGGAATGTTTCTGAGCAGACGCACTGTCGGCAGTTAATACGGAAGACGTCCCACGCAGTCCTCTAGGAGAAAGGGTGAAGTGGTGAATGGGTTACAAAACCACAGACTTTGCCCCAGGACTTTCCCACAGAGGTGTGTGTTCGGAGCTGTGTGAACTTTGACTCATTTCATCACGTTTCTTTTCCTAAACTTAACCACAGCACCTTTACTCTCCTAAACATAACCTCTAGGGGTGGAAACCATCAGAGGAATGGTGAATTTTACATAATCACTATACTTACGTCATGATACAATATTACTGCTATTTTAAATATGTTGTGATATGCTGAGTATTGTGATAAAATATATTGTGATTTATTTCCTTTTTTCAGCTGCAAATTTTGTCTCAAAAGCAAAACAGCTGCTTTATCTAATAAGATAAGCTGCAAAATGTTTCTAGTGGACTGAAGAAGCAATTTATCATATTACTCTAGTAGGCTACCAAAAGTTTAATTTGAAATATTAATAATTTATACCATAAAAAATCAATACTTGGCACTGTGTGATGATACGATATTGTCACACAAAAATATTTTGATATTATGCTGTATCAAATTTTTCCCTTCACCCTTACCAACGTCCATAACGTTACGTTAAGGATGTGAGGTCATTCATGGGGCGCATATTCGATATCATAAATCGCTTTGTGTGGACTTTTTGTAGGATATCACATAAAGTGTTCTATGTTGAACTTCCTCATTTTACAGCTGAACGGTCACTAAAATATGTTTCTGGAAACATTTGAGGAGAAAAACAGTCGATGCAGAAACAGGATCTGGATTCATATTTGATATTAGATTAACGCTGCCTAGTTTGACAGTTTGACCACAGTTCACCAGCAGCGATCGACGTGATTGACAGCTGCGTCAGAGACTCCTCGGCTCTGATTGGTTGTTTCCATTCAAATGCAGTAAGGCCATTAGAAATGCTACAAGGCAGCAGAGAAGGCAGAGGAGTAGGGACGCATGATATTGGACTTTTTGCTGATATCCAATAAGCTGATGTATTGGCTGATAACTGATACTGATACCAATATATCCACCTAATTTCAGTGATCATCAAGTCTCCTCTGTAGTCAAATTAACATCATATACATGCATACTTTTATCATGACGGCCCACCAGCAGATGGAGACATGAAATACAGTCTCTTCAGTGTATGTGATATTCATTGTGCTAAATAAGAAAAAGGCTGTTGGCCAATTCTGATTTTTATTCTAAAGCTGATCTCTGATGACGTACTAATATTTTCATGCATCTCTACAGAGGAGAATGATTTTTTTCACAGATTATTTGTCTCTTTTAGTGCTGTGTGAAGATAGTGACAGTTTCAGCAAATATGAAAAGTTATCTTTTATAAAAGTTTCCAACTGTAGCTTTAAGGGATGAACTGCAGATTTACACCAGATTTTTATTTGTCTGAATATTGTTTTATTGTACTTGGGGAACAAAAGAATGAAGCAGTTTCCTCTGTGATGCCATTAGAGCTCCTGAGTCTGTTAGTGCTGTATACTCGATGTATACCTGCAGCTGCTGCAGTGTAAATTTAAAGGTTTGGACAGCTGCGGAAGAATTGGATGTTATCTCTTTGTCTGATTCATTAGGCCTCCTGCTCAGCTCTAAGACACTGTGCTGCTCTGTAAAGCAAAGACAGGCAGGTAGTGAAACTGTCATCTCAGCCCTGAACACTGTCTGCAGCACAAGTTTCTCTGTGACCATTTAAATTCAAACTATTTGATTTAATTGCTCTGTTTACTTGATGAGGGAGAGAGGTGAAAGTATTCAAAAGCAATCTCATGAAACACCTGCAGCTGCTGATGTTAATTTGAAGTGGTGATGTGATTAGAATGATTTAACAAATTGGAAAGCTTTTCTCAACACTAGATATGAATCACCACGGCTGTGTTTGTGTTTCAACACTTACGATGTACCCCGGAGCACAGACACAAGCTCCGGTGACGCCTTCACAGTCGGCTCCGTTGGCACAGGCGCACAGCTCTCTGCAGCCCTCGCCGTAGTAACCTGCCGGACAGGTCTCGTTACAGTAAAGCCCCGCCCATCCTGCTGTACAGGTGCACTCTCCTGACAGAGGGTGGCAGCTGAGAGGGACAGAGAGTAGAAATCAGTCTATGTAGTAATATTTAATATGCATGCTTAACAAACCAAATGCCCTCTGCTGAGAGGAAACTCTACAAAATGTCACTTATTTTAGATTTAGAGAAAAAACACTAATATGACTGGTCACCGTCTGGGCTCCTTCACACTCGACGTGGACGCGTCTACTGACATGGACGGAGCCTTCTGTCTGTTCTCTGCATTCATTTCTTCCATATTTGTGCCATTTTTTAAAAGCTTAAGGCTCATTTATTTATGATTAAAGATACGCCTGTTGCAAACATTGTAACTGTCACTGCCTCACTCATATATTCATGCGTCCTTTATGATGGCACAGATACAGCCAATAGATGGCACTAGAGGGCGGAGTCAGAAGATTCACACAACAACAACAGATGAGGTGACGGTGGAGAAGGTTGTAATATTGTACCTTTAAATGGAGGCAGGCCTTGCTGCCCAAAAAGTATTTTCCCCCATGGACCACTATTGTAAAACTGTCAAAACAACACCTCCATCTGCAAACAAGGTCAGTTATGACCCGCCTCTGACTGGCCATTGGACAGTTCTGGCAAGGCCACCATCAGCAATGTTAAAAACAAAAGATTGTTGGGAATAAAAGAACCTGCTGACTGCGGCCCACCTGACGTTTAAATAGTCCATCTGATTAGGGGTTACACTGCCCCAAAATTTGCAGCAGTTGTCACCTCCTCCTGCCCCGTCAAGCAGGAAATAGATATAATCAGGACAGAGGGAGTGAAGTTAGTGGAACATGAGTACAAACTAGCTGGATGAAGGAGCTAAAGAATAAAAAGGTGGAGCAGGAAGGGTCAGAGACAAAAGAAAAACGTACTTGAGGCTGAAGCTGCAAAGTGTTTCTAACGTTAGCAGCAGTGACAAAATGACAACAGCCTGTCGACGGCACCGAATGAAGAGGAGGAAACAGTGGCGTGGACAGATCGCGGCAGCAGGCTGATACCAGGGGAGTGACGTTACAGCCTGAGGCAAGAAGTGGAGGACGCCACCCGACAACTTCTCAACAGGTAATGCTGCTGGTGCTAGGCTAGCTCATGTAGTGACAGTTAATGGAGCTAACGGGGGTGCGTGGGTCAGCAGTTGGGCCGGTTGTTGTTCCCTGTCCGACCCTGATTATGACTCTTTCTTTTCAATCAATCAATCAATTTTATTTATAAAGCCCAATATCACAAATCACAATTTGTCTCACAGGGCTTTACAGCATACGACATCCCTCTGTCCTTATGACCCTCACAGCTGATCAGGAAAAACTCCCCCAAAAAACCCTTTAACGGGGAAAAAAAACGGTAGAAACTTTTGATCCATGGAGGTTTTATATTTGTGAAACTTTCCTGACAAGTGATATACGATATAAAAATCTGTGATGTCATCTCAATGTTAAATCTATGAGCTGAGCAGGAACTCGTGGGCGGGGTCAGCAGGAGAAACACTACTGGACAGATTCAGTGGGGCACATACCGTGAAAGTAAACCTGGAAGCTGGTAACTTTTTAGGGTACGTGCCAGGTGAGTAGTTCCATTGTGATGAGGAGGCGCCATCTTGGAATCTGGTATCAGGTATTATTCTACATCTATCGGAACTAATCAATAATATAGTGAAAAGAATTCTCTGCCCACATATCCAACATATTCAATGGCTTCACAGATCCTCGCCATCTGCAACGTTGGCTTAGTTTAAAGGTACAATATTACAACGTCCTCCAGCGTGGCCTCGTTTGTTGTTGTGTGAAACTAAAGGACGTGAAAGTTTGAGGCCAGTGACGGTTACAACATTTGAAACAGACGTATTGATTTTCGTACATATAAGGATTATAAATGAGCCCTGTCTCTACCCAGCAAGCAATAGTCGTGATTTAAACATATTGGCTATATTTAGCTCCTATTTAGTCTAGCTACATGTAACCCAAAATATAGCCGATTTAATTTTGAAATCGATTAAATGTAATTTTCGCCATTGCAGATGGCGTGCGGTATAATATTCAATCACGTATGGAGAGTCAACAGTAATTAAAATATGTTTATCTCCATTTTTTGGACATGGTCTCTACATAGCCGTATAATTGATGACGTCTACACTTTGGCTATGGTTAGACTTCTACCAAATTTTCACTGACAGCCCAAATTCAGCCGTGATTTAGCCTAGACGTCAGGTCTTCATGCAGACGTTTTTTAAACCAAAAAATGCTTGCTGCTCACTACCTGACTGCATTTAGATCTATTGTCTTAAGAAACGACACATGAAGAGAAACTTTAACTCCTGTATGTCTATTAAAATATAATGAAATTGCACACGACATGGTTTTGATTCAAATGCAGCAGTTTGATGAGGTACAGATGTCAGATTTAAAGTTTTATGGGTTCAGCAGAGAAAGCAGTGTAAACAAAGTGCTTGACACTGAAGCGCAAAGACATCAATACTCACACTCGACCAACCTCCAACACAACACAGTCTTCGTCTATTCACGCTGTGCTGTAAAGTATAAAAGCAGAGAAGGTTTCTCGCCAGCTTGACCAGCGCTCTGGTACCTGAGTGTGTTTGCAGCCTTGCAGGGGCAGTATTTGTCACAGATGAGTCCGTACAGGCCGCTGGGACAGAAGCGGTCCTGGCAGCTAGGACCCTTGAAGCCCTCGTTGCACAGGCAGGCCCCGTTGATGTGGTAGCACTTGGCTCCGTTCTGACAGTCACACTTGTGGGCACACTGCGGCCCGTACGTGCCAACTGGGCATTCATCCTGGCATCTAGAGTCGTGTAAGAACAATGAAGGAGGAGCAGTGAGAAGAGGTGGACAGCAGGGAGGAAAAACTCTCATCTTTAAATCTGAGTGTTGCTGAAAGAGCAAGGTTGTCTCTTGTAAACAGGCAGCAACATAAAATGAATGGATTACTGTTGGTAAACCTCCCTTCATCAAGTTTCTGTGAATGTCGACCTGAAAGAATCAGACAAACTCTCAAACAATTTCTGGACTTCTACACAATGTTTTCTTTCATTTCACTCAAAGTTAGCATATTAAGTTGGGATGCAACTGGGGCTTTGTTTCTAAAGGTTAAGAAAATTAAAGATTCACCTGATATGACATCAAATAAATCTATTTTGTGAATTGGAGGTGGTTCCTGGTCAAACATCAGTAAACAGTGATTAAAGTGCAGGTTTGGAGATGTCACTGTGAACAAAAAAGGCAACAGCCTCTTGGTGAAGAACTTCTCAGGCCCACTAGGTTTCTCATAGAGACCTGACCAGGGCATTCTAATTTTATCAACCCATTAAATGGCCGTTATGAGTTGTTATCACGACCATTAAAAAGCCTCAGATAGGGCAAACTGCATCTCCCAGCAAGCCAGAGGGTGCATATCCAATGTTGTAAAACTATCACAGCTTAGTTAGGTTTCACTTTTATTAGGCTTAGGTGCCAAAACTAGTGGGTTAGGCTGAGGAAAAAATGATGGTCAGCTGGTTACATAAACTTGTATCTGAGTAACCATGGCAACAGGGACGCAGTCAAATCCTCTGTTTACAATTATTTCCAACACTGAGCGTAACGTTAGTCCCTTTAGTGTGACGTTAGTGCATGAATTCTTGAGTTATGGTGAAAAACATGTTTTGTAAGGTCACACTGACTTTTGACCTTCAACCACAAAATCCTAATCACTTTTATTCTTCAGTCCAAGTGGATGTTTGTGTCAAATGTAAAGAAATTCCCCTATGGTGTTCTTAAGATATCACATATTCATGAAATGAGACAGACACAAAGTCACAGTGCCCTTTGATCTATGGCCACCAAATTCCAATCACTTCATCTTTGAGTCCAAGTGGATGTTTGTGCCAAATTTGAGGAAATTCCCTTTAGGTGTTCTTGAAATATAGCATTGACAAGAACGAGACAGATGCAAGGCCACAATGACTTTTAACCACCAAATTTTTATCAGTACAACCTCGAGTCCAAGGAGACGTTTGTGCCAAATTTGAAAAAAAAAAAAAAAAAAAAAAAAATCCCTTTAGGTCTTCTTGAGATGTTGCAATCATGAAAGGAGAAAAACACAAGATCACAGTGACCTTTGACCTATGACAACCAAATTATAATCAGTTTATCTTTGAGTCCAAGTGGATGCTTGTGCCAAATTTGAGGAAATTCCCTTAAGGTGTTCTTGAGATATAGCATTAACAAGAATGAGATGGATGTAAGGTCACATTTACCTTTGACCACTGAATTCTGTTAATTCCTGAGTCCAAGTGGATGTTTGTGCCAAATTTGAGAAAATTCCCTCAAGGTGTTTTTGAGATATCGTGCTCAGAATGGGACAGACGGGCGGACAACCTGAAAACCTAATGCTTCTGGTCATGGCCATCACCAGCATGGAGGTATAAAAATGATCCAAACTAGGAAACTTGGGTCAAAACTAAAAAGTAAGAAAGTCTGTTTTGGTTGTTGAAGACATTTAAAAAGGTTTTAATATTTCCCACGGCCTACATGATCCTTTAAACACACATTTACAATCCGTACAATGATCACTAACACTCCTTCTGCCTCCGAACAATAAAACCTGAGTAATATTATCCCGCACTCACAGAGGACACGTTATTCTCCTCACAGATGACACATGTACTCCGCCATCACGCAGACTCACACCATTATGAGGTCAACAGGCTACAACATTACGCACAGACTCTGAGTGGTCTTTATAATGAGCACCGCTGAACACACACAACTGAACTGAATGGAAAATTGTTTGGGTTAAAGTTAGGCCGACGTCTCGGCATCATTCTCACCACGTCCGCAAGTTGAAACCATTAAGAAATAGACAAATCACTCAATTAAAATGGCTCAGTGTGGATTTCTGTTTGGTGTCACGTTTAAATCATGCCGACTTCCTCAGGACTCTTATCTCGGCTAATTCCATTAGAACGTGGACGGGGTGGAGGAGAACTCAATCTAGGAATTATTCCATGTAGGCTAATTCACCTGTCTCCGGCCTAAATGAATGGAGGTAATTTGGCTCAATTGAGAGTAAAGATGGAGAAGGAGGGAGAGAGGGAGAGAGGGATGGACAGAGTGGAGGGAGGAGAGAGACGGAGCTGACCGGAGGAGAGGTGGAGCTGCAGGAAGCCTTTTTCTGCTGATAGACGGTGTTGCAGCTGATGGAGGAAATGAGGAGGAAAACAATTTTAAATGGCTTTTAGTTTAAGTCTCCCACTCTGGGTGATGGGGGGCCGATAACAGAGTGCATAATAGCAATCAATGAGCATTAGTGTGTGTCAGAGAGCAGGAGGAGGAACGTTAGCACATAACACTCATCATAAAGGCTTTATATTCTGTATTACAGATATATCTACAGCTCATATGTCACTATAGCTCACTCAGCTCGTCACTACACTTTCTATTGTTGTCCAGCTGTGTTTTAACTTTTTAAAAAATGACAAAACTCATATCAACGTAAGACTAGTCCAGACCCACTGAGTGCACAGTTGCCCACGTACAGTTTCACATGGTGTGTGTTTGGGATACAGGTCATAGGAAACTGCAGATTAAATAGTCAACTGAACCCATTAAGAAGAGCAATGTATTCAGACAGAGTGTTTGTGAGTTTGATAATACGATTGCAGCCACAGCAATCGGTCGCATTTTAGCTATTTTTCTGTTGTTATAGCGCCACCCAGTTGTCAATTAGAGTTAAATTTCTCCAGTCACCTTGAGGCGTCCTGTTCTACATATCTACCAAGTTTAGTAAAAATCCATATGGCGGTTAGGCCTAGATAAGAAATGAGCTCTCTAGCGCCCCCATTTTGTTTGATGGGGTCAATAATGGAGGGGTCCCCTCAGATTATGTGTGGTCATATGCCTACAAAGTTGCGTGGTGATGGGTGAAACCCTTGAGATGTTATACACCTTTATGTGATGAGCCACGCCCTCCGCAATATTCATTGCCTTATAGAAGCTCAGTTTTAGTAAGTTTTCCAACTTTTGCCAAGAGGGAACTTTAGATATTGGTCCCTAGATTATGTTCACCCAGTTTCATGCAGATCGCTCAAACTTCCTAGGAAGAGATCCATTTGAAGTGTTTTTCAAAAAATTCAAAATGGTGGAAAATCTATATAAGCGGAAGTTATGGGTTCTTGAGGTAAATGTGTTCCTCATGAGGAGAGGCATCTCTGTGCAAAGTTTCATGTCTCTACCACATACGGGGCATGAGATATGCCCATTCAAAGTTTGACATTTCAATGGGTTGCTATAGCGCCCCCCTTTGGCCAATTGATGTAATATTGCTTCATTGGCATCCTCCCATGACCCTCTACCACTGTGCCAAATTTCACATGGATTGACCAAGTCAGTGAGGAGAAAAACGTGGAACACACACACACACACACACACACACACAGAGTTTTCATCATTATATAGTAAGATAAGATTAAGGTTAAGACGTGTGTGTATGTCCATGAATGCCAATCAATCGTAAAATGACAGCGTGCTCCCGCTAGTCAACAATTAACATACATCCCCCCATGAATACGAGTGACCACCATATATGTGTGTATATATATTTATATAACCCTAGAGATGGTTGTGCTGAAAATCCCAGTAAATACTCAGAGCAGCCCGTTTGGCACCAACAACCATGCCACGTTCAAAGTCACTTCAATCACCTTTCTTCATCATTCTGATGCTCCGTTTGAACTTCAGCAGCTCGTCTTCACCATGTCTACATGACTAAATGTTAATGAGCTGCTGACACCTGATTGGCTGATTAGCTATTTGTGTTAATGAGCAGTTGAACAGGTGTACCTAATAAAGTGGCCGGTGAGTGTATATTCTAGCATAATGCATTTTTTCTTGCATGCATCTTATTGTGTTTCTATTTCTTATAACTTCTCTGTGTCCATATTGTATAACAGCAACTGTAAAGTCTCCCAATTTTCCTCCAATCAATCAAGTATCCTGTATCTTAATATGTCGTATTTGTCTGTATGAGTAATAGAGAAACCATGATGACTGCAGGTACGTCAGTATATTGAGGAACAGCAGCAGTTGATTTATTGCAAACGTCACAGTCTGACACAAAGTGATTTAACACTTTGTTCACAACATGTTAACACTGTTTTATATTTTAATATCAGATATAACTAATTCAGGATTCCTGCTGGTAACTTCCACAAGTGCTGCTAAACTTTGCTCTTTCTTCATAAATATTTGATCCTCCTCAGTTTTAATATAACCAAATAATGTGTTTACATTTACAGCTACTGTATCCCCTTATTGTCTCTGTTAGTTTCCCTCTGTGTCCACTGTTTATTACACATCTTACTGTGTGCCCATTTTTATCTTTCTCCCTGCTGAATTCCATTAATATTTTCAGCTGCAACAAGCTAATTTCCCCGAGGGCTCCGCTAAAGTCTCATGTTATCGTACATTCACACTCTACCTCTCTCCGATGTAGCCTGCCGTGCACTGGCACTGACCGCTGATGTGGTCACACAGGCCCTCGTTACGACACGTGCACTCCTGAGAGCAATTAATGCCGAATGATCCGAACGGACACGGCTGGGCGCAGACTGGACCCTGAGGAAGAGGAAGAGGAAGACATGACCATCAGGTTAGCATGCACATCAGACAGGAACACAAAGTGTTTAAAGGAGAGCAAACATCATCATCATCATCATCATCTGCAGAGCTCTGTCCTGACATCAAACCACACTGATACTAATCATCACCTCTCCTCCTAAAAGCTGCACACTGTAGGGGAACTGAAAAGAAACAAGGGAGCGTGCACAGCGTCACATCCTTTGGATTTTACTGAAAAAAATTTACCCTTTACATAGAGATCAGTCCACAGGCTGTTAGAAGCGACTGAGACAGTCGGGGAAGGTCTCAGTCTTTATATTAAAATCAGTTAAAAGTTACATACAGCACCTTTAACCTAGCTTCTACGACCCTCTCCCATGACTTCATGCTGTGGCTGACCAATTTCAAACTTCTACTGTTCAGCACATCACCCTCAAAGTCATTGCACGTCTTGTCTGAAATTGTCGCAGGGGTAAAACTCAATATGACCTCACGTTGTGTCACGTTTGCACACTGATTCCAAAACATTCATCCATCGTTAGAGTTTTTGGAACAGCGTTTTTTTTGCATCTGTCAAAAGTTCAGAGACTGTTTGACAAAGAAGCGGTGAAGAAGTGGCGCAGGGACGAGAGAGGAACGGAGGGTCAGATAGTGATGTTCAGGTGGATGATGATGACGGGGAGAAGGATGTAAAAGAGGACCAATGCAGACGCTCTGCCCCTACAGGTAGCCGTTGTGCCAAATTCGAGACACGGACAGAGATTGGCGACAGAACAGGAGGAGCCTCCAGTGGAGAGAAGCAAGGGACCAAATGTGTCTTTTCATTTTGTCTCGTATTGCGTATCTTTGCCCTGAATAGAACGATAAAATGCATCGGACTCGGTGTGCAGGGTTTCTGTGTTTAACAATTTTTATTGGATAATGAGTTTTTAAAAAAATGTGTACGAAAAATACAGACTTGGTGTTACTCTTAAAAATCGGTACCAGTACTAATGTTTTTTTCAACCTGGGCCCTATTTTCAGATCTGCTTTTGTCTAAATGAGTGATAGGATGTTCAGTATGTGACATTTCTCCAGTATGAAGCTAGGGCTGACCTGCCTGCAGCCTGTGAGCGCGTTATATTAAATAATAGGGCACTCAGACAGCGTCAAACAACGTCAAAAATTCGGACATGTTTGTTGTGGCAAGTCAAAACACTCAGAGAGTGAAAGTCTGGCTCTGAAATCTCACGTCTCACGAGATTTGAGTTGTTGCAGGAAGTTACCGCTGGAGTGACCTTACAAACGCGAGGAGTTACTCTGTTTGGAGTAGTCGTGGCTGAATTTTTACCCGATTTTGACCAACTGGATCTGGATGAGCCATTTGAATTTGATGAGCGCCCATATTTATTTGAACACGGAGTACACGGACGTACACGGACGCAGAGCTCATTGAAACTGAAGAGCGGACGAGGAGAGAGAGGGAGCAGCAACAGGCAGAGGAACATGTCTGAATCCAGCTAAAGTTAAACACACACGTTCATTTCTCCTTTCCGTTATGTTGTCAGATAATTATACTAACAATCCGAGCCTATCTGTGTGAAAAAAATGCACTTTTAGTGGACGTATTTTGACGTTGTTTGACGCTGTCTGAGTGCCCTATTATTTAATATAGCGTGCTCACAGGCTGCAGGCAGGTCAGCCCTAGCTTCATACTGGAGACATGTCACATACTGAACATCCTATCACTCATTTAGACAAAAGTAGATCGGAAAATAGGGCCCAGGTTGAAAAAAACATTAGTTCCCCTTTAAGTATCCTCTTACTTTCCAAGAATGTGTAAAACAATCTGATTAACAATATAAGTAGTGTTATATCACATATTAGTGTCCCTTCATTAATGAGTCTTCTCCAGCCTGGTGTGAGCTAAACTTTGAGGAGGAAACACTACAATATAAAACGGTTGTAGAAATATTCAGCCTCAGCTCCGAACACAAACGTGCTGATCTCAGCTTTGGGTTTAAAAACTCTCCGTTAGCTGAACTCAGATAAACGTGCACATCAGCTGGTTTTGCTGTGGATGTTGTGCAGGTCGTCGTACCACCCAGCCGGCAGGACAGGAGCACTCTCCGGTGACGTGATGGCACGTTCCTCCGTTCTGACAGGGACAGCGCTGTTCACACAGGGAGCCATGTTTCCCTGGAGGACAGGGCTCCTCACAGCTGGAGGGAGGAGACAGAGGAAGGAGACATGTTGAGGTGTGACGTGTCAGAGTGAAGCATCTCAGCACTGACAGTGAGCAGAGGGTTAAAGGCTGAACTGTCAAAACAATAATCAGAGGTTAAGGATGATGTCAGACTGTGTCTAAAGCCAACATGCAAAACGTAAAAACAACACATATCTCCATTTCCTAAAGTGTCTCTGTAATATCCTCTCATTAGGAGAGCTCAGCATCAGCACAACAAGCACCAGCGTTGGTGTAAACACGCTTATTTTGCTGTTTACCATCACAGTTTTTCTCCATTGCTCCGTGTGCCAACTGTGGTCTCAGGCTGCAAATGTCTCCACTTAACTTTTAATCATTTCCCATTCAATTCACACGGTTTCTTTTTACACGACCATCACACAGAAAACACCCTCAGTCTTGTTCCCGATGAAGAGGAAGCTGTTTCTGTTACGTCGGCTCAGTTACTGTCAGTCAGAATCACGGCTGCAGGTTTCAGGAAACACACGGAAACAGTTTGTATATGCGCCAGTCGCTGCTGCTGTCTCAGCTCATCGCGCTGTGAGCACACGGAACAACCCAAGGCGACGCAAATTAGCTTATCAATAATTTTTAGCACCTCCTCTCTTCTGTCATCATGAACAGGGAGGCTGGGCAGTCACAGGAAGTTCAATAAGAATCAGACCTGATCAATAAAAGTGACGGGACGTGAAGCAAACACACTGTGACACTCTGCATACAATCATATTTTAAAAATGTTATACGTAATTTTTCTGTATTAAAACGTCTAAAAACAACTAAACCAAGATTTTAGGTGAGTTTGAGTTGTGGTCTTAAATTATCCCAAATGTTTGTAACAAACGCAGGGAAATCTGTCATTTTAATCCAGGACATGCTCTGTGTCATTTGGTCACCGTCGCCTGTTTGTGGCATTTTGTATTCTGACTTTTAATCCAGTTTAAAGCCACATTTTCACAATACGCTTTTTAGATATTGTTAGTTTTTAAAGGTACACTGTGCAGGATGTCAGTTGAAAGTGAAAGTAAAAGGTAAAAGTAAATCCCACATTAATGCTTGTTCAGCGTTTCATATTTCTATATTCACATTTTTCCGTGCTGTGTTTCTTTTACAAGACATTGCACCTTTGCATTTTTACACAGAACCAAACACCTGCAGTATCATTCCACTCCTGTGTGTGGTTTTAGACAGCATGCCGGCATTGTGGACACAGAAGAGGTGTGACGGGCGTGACATGTAACACAACAGCATCGGCCTCGAGTGTGTTTCATTGTGTTTAGAACAATCCTTCATACAGTAGTATATCCTGAACTATGTGTTTTAACCAGATGAAGGATTTTAGTCATCAGACGTCATTGTGGCCAACACATTACAAACTTTATGTTTAAAGAAAATGAAATGACTCTTTAATTTATTTCTGTCAAATATTATTTATATTTTTAAAAAAAATCACCCATTTCGTTCATGTAATAAAACTAATGTAGAATTTATGTTATAAATGTTTTAACTTTAATCAAAGGTAACCATCAGCAGCACATTCTGATCAGCTCCACCTCAATAATATATCACACAGATGAATTATTACATTAACCAGTTACATATGTTCCTTTTTGTTTAATGTCAAAGTTCAGCTTCATTATTTTAAAATCACTGCGTCTGAATGAAGCTAAAGCCCTTCAACGCACGGAGAATTCAGAGCAGCCAGACAGCCATCACATCCAACAGTCAAAGAGCAACTCACAAGGCGCCAGTGTATCCGGGCGCACAAAGGCACTCGCCGGTCTGATGGTGGCAGGTGGCGCCGTTGAGGCACTGGCACTCCAGCAGGCAGTCCTTGCCGTAGAAGTTGGGGTCACAGGGCTCCTCGCAGCGCCAGCCCTGGAAGCCGTCGGTGCAGACGCAGGCTCCTGTTATCGGGTTACATTTGGCCCCGTTCCGGCACTGACAGCGGTTACTGCAGTGGGGCCCCCAGAAGTCACTCTCACAGCCTGTAGAGGAAGAGGAGGAGGAAGAGGAGGGTGTGAGTCAACATGTGATTTAAAACCGTGTGATCATCCATATCTGCCGAGTGGAGAGGTCTGAGAGTGTAGAAGAGGCATGAACGTCTGGACATGAGGTCATCCACATGAGAGTTTGACATAGAGCAGAGAGGTGAGATCAAACGAGGAGAAGAGAGAGAACACGACACATTTTTATCAAACATTTAAGAATTATACTTTACAAAGCTCGGCTAAAAAACATGTCCTCGACTGCAGACCACTGTCCGAGGCCAACACTCAACAAAACTGGTTGTGTTTTTTTGAGTCATCACTGTTTTCAGGAACTTTTTACGCATCAAACATGTTTTTTTGTGACCCATGGCTGTTGTTCCAGCAGGGATAATGCCATGAGAAGCACTTGTTTTTCACCAATACTTTGCTGTGTTTCCAGCTGGAACAGTGCAGCACAAAGCAGGTAAACTGAAGCTTTTCAAGACCAACAAATAATAACACTGGTTGTGTTTTAGCGAGTCATCACTGTGTTTCTAGCGGGAATTTTAGCCTCCAAAACCATATGTTTAAAGCTGAAACTGTCCAAGACTAACAAACAACAAAAACAGTGTTTCCAGCTACTTTCTAGGCACCAAGCATGGGTGTGTTGTAGTGATCCATCGCTGTTTTTCCACCTGAGATAATGCCATGACAAGCAGTAGTTTTTCACCATGACTTTGCTGCATTTCCAGCCAGAACAGAGCCACAACAAGCAGGTATTTTAAGCAAAAACTTAAGACCACAAACTGGTTGTTTTTTAACCCGAGACATTGCTGCATTTCTAGCGGGCATTGTGACCCTTAAACTGGGCATTTTCAATCCAGACATGATCTTTTCTGACCATAACCAGGTGGTTTTTGTGCCCAAACCTACCCTGAAACTTAAAGTTTCAACATATATGTACATAATAACGTATCAGTGGTTTGCATCCGGCCTGCTTTCTCTCTCACACAGTGGTAAATATTTTGTCTGTGCCGGCTGCTTGCTCTGAACGCCATGAAAAACACTCTGCTTGTATGATCAGTTTATTTTTAGAAAGTTTGGATTTTATACTTTAGAGAGCAGAACAGGGGCAATAGTCTGGAAACACACACACATATTTTTCTATACTCTCTTTTCCTGTTTCCACACTTATCCAGGCCTGGCATTGACTAAAAGCAAATTCCATAGTTTCCATACACTGAACAGTTTCACATGACTGTCCACGTCTGTTCAGAGCAGGAAAAGCCAATCAGAAACCAGGATTTTTACCTTCATCTGACACGCTGTTCACTCCTTTAAAACAAATCCCTTCATTTGTGATTCTAAGTTTTAAAAAAGTTGTGTTGTATTTGTCTGTAACATCTCCAGAGGTGATTGGAAATTGTTAAATTGATATCAAATAATAAAAAAATTTGTTTGAAAGTGAAACACAAAGAAAACTCTAACGTCCTGTCATAAGGAGACTTTAGCTGTGTTAACAAATGCAAACATAGAAAGTGACGGCAAACAAAATGAATCACAGTTTTAGACCTGCTGATTTATTGAACTGATGATAAATAGGTAACATCCTATTGCCTACGCTAACATAATTTGTTATGACTAATGATAGTTTGTACAATCAGTCCAGAGCACTTCAGTTACTGCAGTCATCTGGGATCTACTTTACACCAACTCAAGAGACCTCTGGAGTGCTGAAAAAAAAGACTTCACCCTTTTAACTTTTTCTAAGTTCAGAATTTCACTTTAAGCAGAAGAAAGACAAAAGTTTTGTTTGGTCTTTAAAGGAAAAGTCTGGGACTATTGAAGGAAACTAGATGTCAGTGGATGCAAACAGACAGATGAGATGAGACAACAGACAGTTCAGTGTACAAACGTCCTGAAGTACAAAACAAAGCACTGGTCCCAGTCTCCATCAACACTGGCAGAAATGAGTTTTACAACAGTGACACTGCGGCACCTCGGACTCGTCTCTGAGGGGAGCAGACGTGTAAATCTGCAAACTGTTGTCTCTAAATGTCAGCGAGAGGCGGCAGGCTCAACAACTCTGATCTGAAGTTCACATAAAGCAACAAACGGGACATCAGTAAACTCTATCAGCAAACGTCGATGTTTACCCACCCAGCTGGGTGCATATCTCTTCATACCAAGAGATACCTTAATGCAGGCACGCCGGGGCTACAACTATTTATATGTGACTTTATAAGTTTAAACTCAGATACACCAAAGCACAGAAATAGAGTTTAAGAGGGAGTTTTTACGTTTGAGCTAATCTGATGCTTTAGAGGAGAGTCATCGTCAGGCCTGGTGCAGCTGCAGCACGGATCCTCTCACTGATCTGTTGGAGCAAACTTTTACCTTTTTGATCTGTTGCTGCTCTCCCAGAAACTAAAGGTGATGACTGGAACTATTTGGGGTTCTTCGGCTTGTCCCCATAAGAGAACCCTTTTTGGTTCCTGCTAGAACTTTTTATGAAACCTGTAACTCTGTCAAAGGGTTCTACCTAGAAACCCAACATACAGGGTTATACCTAGAACCTTCTGTGAAAAGTTCAACCCAGAATTGATGGTGGGTCGCTGCTGCTGCTGGCTCTATGTGCTTAAGCCCCGCCCACACACACATTCTCATGACTGATGAATTGGTGCTGGTTATTTATATTATTGTGGCGTATTGATTATGAATACAGTCCATCTGATGCTGGTTTTGTTTCATCACTGTAGCCAGTATCTCACTATCACTATCCTCATTCAGATTTTAAGAAGCTACAAATTATATTCAGCCACAAAATAAATCTGAAAAGCTGCAAATCAGAACGAAAGTACAGATGATACACCGTCTCATGGCGGTCACTTCCTGTCGACGTTACAGATCAGAAGCGCAGAGAGTTGTTGACTAGAGATGATACGCCGTCTCATGGCGGTCACTTCCTGTCGACGTTACAGATCAGAAGCACAGAGAGTCGTTGACTACAGATGTGGCTCCATTTGTTTCATACATTTCATCTAAAAGGATCAAATATTTCTATGAAGGATTTTGATAATAATGATAATAATAATAGTAAAAACATTTCCAGTTTCTCAGATTGATCCGCTCTGCTGACTTCTTCAAATGTGCTTTATCGTATTTCCAACCTCAGTGACGGCTGAATGAGGCAAGTGATGCATTTTCACCACATTTCACCATGAAGTTAAAAAGAACCGAGACTGTAACTCAACAAAGTGCAGAATCTTTTTGTGCCACTTTACGCCTTCATATTCTCACCTCCAGTTTCAGTTTGACATCTCCTGATGCTGTAAAATGTTCTGAAAGAATCTGAGGAATGTAACTCAGAGGAGATAAATGACACTTCTGTAAAATAACTCTGAGCTTCTTTTTTAAATTCTTTATGCAACAAGGTTCTGTCATTTTTTATTTGAACAAACTGCTACGGTATGAATCCCTTCCAGGAGAGTCGTTGTCTTGGTGCAGAAATCATTGTTTTTTCTGAACATGGACGTTTGTTTGTAAGAGACATCGTGTCCATGTAACACGCAGAAACTTACTTATCTAAAACCGACCGGAGGGGTGCATAGAGCATTATAGTTTGGAGCGTAGGGCCTCAGACTGAGCTGCTGTATTTGATGAGTTGGGAGAGTGAAAACATGTTGATGTTTTGGATTTTAAAAAACTGTTTTTTGAACCCGCCTCTTTCCCTTTACTGACACTGATAAGTGAATTCAACAGATTCTCAGGATTTGTATTCAGAAAATACATCACAAGTCTGGAGGAGGATGAATCTGGTATAAATATCTGGTATAAAGCAGAAGCTGAAGACATTAGATGAAAACAAGTACAAAAGACGTGACATTTTATTGTATATTACATCATCTCAAGATAACATAAATCCAAGCACTATTATCTATTTGATATATGCTCACAGGGTGAACTGCACTCCCCCAGACAGGAAGTAAAGTACCCAGAGAGTGAGTGCCAAGAGCTCTGAACGAATGGCCTTAAGTTAAAAGGAAAACCCTGGAAACAGCCGAGAGAGACGGAAAAAATGGTCCAGACTTGGAGAACTTTTCCCCCCAGATGTGGGTGGCAGTCTTGCAGATATTAAAGTGTTAAATGTTTCATCAGTGCTGTGGTGGACAGAGCTCTGAGCAGACAAAGCATAAATCAGACTTGCACTCATTCCCTCTCAATCTTCCTCTAATTTACTCTCTGTTTTCTATGCGTCTCCTCCTTCCTCCTGCCCTATCTCCATTTCTCTACTGCCTCTCTCAAAGAGGGGACTTCTCTTTATTTCTCTTAACTAGTGAGCCAGCATAGTCAAATCCTTTATCCTCTCACAGCCTCAATTATTCAGCAGCAAAGAGTCCAAATCAAGTGACTAATGACTTTGATCAAGAGTAGCTCGCTGGCACTAAGCAAAACTTTCTGCACTAAATTAAGAGCTGCATAATATACTTTGGCAAGGGCTAACTCTTTAAGGAATATTTCGAGGTTTGTCTACGGTGAAGTCGCTCTTTGCCAATAATAAAATATGAGCCTGCTCTTTGCTTTGCCTCTTTTCTTTCTCACTTCTAATAGAGAAACACACCTGACACTGTTAACCTGCCTCTTTGTTTCTGTGACACTCTTTAAATCCAACAGTCGACTGCAGGTTGTTGTCAACGGCAAATTAGTTCTTGATTAAAGGAGTAGTTAAGGTGGTTTAATTTATTAAGCTTGTTCCACACCAACGAAGGTTCAAAGTGCTATTAAGGTGCTTATTTGCTTTCTTACCGAGTGTTAGATGAAAGCTACACTACTCCCATATAATAAGAGTTTGTATTAAAGGTAATGCCAGGAGAGGATTAGCTTAGCTTAGCTTAGCTTAGCATGAGAACTAGAGTCAGGGGAAGACAGCTAGCCTGGCTCTGTCCTCACAGCTCATTACCTAATGTATTTACCTTTTGTTTTTTGTTGTTTTTTTAGTTTGTTGACAAACATTCATT